ATAATCGCGGACCAATACCTTTGCTTCCTTGAGACGCAGGAGGATCCAAGAGATGGACTCCCTGTTTTTTCCGCCCCGATTTGGCACATGCGTTCTGTATTTACGAGACGTATTCATGCACGTGTGTTTGGGAGCGTTCCAGTTTATGCAGTTTGTATTCTACTAATCAACACGGCCAAAAACCTGCAATCAAGTCACAGGGAAGTATATGGGAGGAGCTTAAGAGTCGCCTCCAACAAATAAGCTCCATGGTCAGTCCAGCAGAGGCTGGCAAGCTACCCGTGAGTATACGCAGCCCCAACGGCCAGAGCCCAGCAAGCTATACATGGGTATCGAAAAGCTAAAAACAGTAAAAGAAACGGGCCTCATTCTCCTGACTCCGAAAGAGCCCCCAATTCGGTAGAGTTGGGTAGGACGAGTACGGAGAGGCTGCTAAAATCTCAGGACCAGTGGAAGCTGCCTGGATTTCAAAGAATGATGGTGACGATCTGTACCTACAATGCACGTACACTTGTATCCGAGTCCTCAATAGAAGACTTGCACATGCGAGCAAATATGGTAGGGTAAGAGTTCCCAGGATCGACTTTCTCTTAACCACGGCATTGGAATATGAATGTGTCGTTTTCTTGTTCAGCAATCGCGAGGTTTTTAAGGTAAGGTAAGACGTCATCGGCCGGGCAGACATGAGAAGACGCCAGGCTTTCAATGCCATCTATGACACCGGAGAAGAACTGTTCCTTGGAACATGCGACAGTAGAGGTGTCGGCGGCGTCGACGTTCTCAAAAACACCAGTTTCTCCATGAGCATTCATTAATTCGAACAACTTACAACCCGAATCGCACGTTTACGATTAAAAAAACGTAGAACAATTCTGGCTTTGATAATCTTCGTCGTTTACCCGCCGACATCAAATTATGACGAAGGAGAAGTCGAAGCGTTTTATACGGACTTGGAGAACTTCTACAGAGAAGACCACAGATTCTTCAAGGTCATCGTTGGAGATTTCAACGCCAAGATTGGACCAAGAAGGACGTCACATTGAGACCCACAGATCAGAATGGAACGAACAGAGTGAACGGCTGTCTGATCTTACCATGACGACCAAGACCATCCATGGTAACTCGCAATTCCAGAAGCGCCATCCTCAACGCTGGACGTAGTAGTCTTCCTATGGAGGGTACCATAACGAAATAGACCGCATCATAGTAAGTAGAATGTTTTGTCTAACCGATGTCGTTGTTGTGCCAAAATTCTACACGAGATCGGACCATCGCCTCTTTGGTGCAAGATTCTAATTTACGAGGAAGAGAGAAAGAGCCGCTAAATTCAAAAAACGAAGTCCCAGAGCCACCATAAACTGGGACATATCCAATTCACTAGTCGGTTGTTGGGAAGATACCGTTGTCGATAACATCGACGAAGAATACGATCGGCTCATTCAACATCTTCACGTTAGCGCTATGAAAGCTGAGAGTTCGAAAGTCACCAAGAGACGTCTGCCTCCAGAAACACTCGAGCTGATACGCCAACGTGGAATCGCACGAGCCGCAGGCAACAGCGAACTAACGTGCGAACTCCCAAAACTATGCAGAAGGAACATCTTAAAGAGAGAAGAGTAGCAGTAATGGTCGAAGCTGCAGAGGCTGGAAAAAGCTTTTGCAAAGACCACCGAAGCTTCTCCAATTACAAGACCAAAATCATTGCACTCCGACGCCCAGACGGAACAGTTGCAGCGTCCAGAAAGGCAATGGAGAAAACTTTTTATGAATAATACTCAGATCTCTTCGATAACCACGTCCACCTTTCGTCGTACTAAATAAAGGAGGATGGATATGTTGTACCATCGGTTCTCCCTTCCGAAATCCGACGTGCCATTTCGCTGGCGAAAAATCGAACAGCACCAGGTCTGCACAGGATATAATCAAAATACATGAAGAACCTCCCTCCAGTCCTCATAAACACAATGGATCGACTCTTCACACGTCACCTGTCCGAATGCAAGGTTCCTACTCAGTAGAAGACCAGCAAGATGTCGTCAACAAAATTCTCACAAGTTCACTCAGAGTTATCGAACGCGCAGTGGAAAGAACGATACTAGGAGTATCCCGTTTCGCACAAGTAAGGGATGGGATCCGAAGCTCCGATCTGCGTCAACGATCAAAAATCAAAGATGCCGTTTTGTACCCCAAACCTTCGAAGATAAGGTGGGCCGGACACGTAATGCGTATGAGCGACAACCGATGGACAAGAGCCGTAGGTGACTGGATTCCTCGGGATGTCAAGCGTACTGCAAGAAGACCACTGACCCGATGGTCGGAGTTCTTCACAAAAAGCTTAGAAGAAAGTACGATGCTCAACTAGTCGCCATAGCCAGCAAACCTAATGGGCTACTCTTGCGTACTACAGGGAAAAATGGAAGATTTACTGGCGCCCGCTCGAGTCACTCGACGATCAACGGGACTACAGGTGATACATGTGATGGTCGATTAAAGGGGTGACGCAATGGTCGGAGGCGCCCTGCAACACACACGTGGAATCGATCTTTGCCCTTATGGCCCACAAAGCCTATCACTTTGGGGTCGGCAAATCGGTACCAAACTTGCCTAGGAGGACAGCAGCACTGGGTCGATACATCGGTAGGCTACCACGAGTCATTGTAAAGATATAAAGGCCAGATACGTACCCAATCACCTCTAAACGGTGCTTAATGAAGTTGAATGTGAGTCTCATCCGCCAAGGATTGATCAGAGCCGAGCGCTTTGTCTTTTCTTTTACCAAAACGACGAATTATCAAATGAGCGTTTTCATGTTCCCATACAAATCTTTTACTAATTTGCCGACCCTTGAGATATAGAGAAATTGCTGGACCAAAGCGTCAAGATTGAACCACCGTGGGATCGACCAACTGCCCAGTGTGTATTGGGCAGCACCTCTAACCACTGGGTAACATGCGCTTCGAACGTTACAAACACTGCCAAATTCTTTCACTCATTCAGAATTTTTCTATTAATTCAAGCAAACAAACCAGGTGGTGTGCGGTAACTGCTCGTTCGATCGAGCGTAGCTTGTATGCTGTGTGGTGAGTAGAAGGTTGTCTACCTATGCGACCTTGTTTCTTTATTGCTTCAGAGTCGTCTTGTATTAATATCTTTTTCTATTGGCAAGCCATCACGAGATTGCGATAAAATGCACGAAGGCGCAGAAACGTTTGTGACAACAAAAATTTTGGGGAAGGAGTCTATGGTTAATATTGACATTAAATGAATGATTTTCAAAAATGTTCCTTCATTGAATTGTTCTTCTACTCAATAATATTTGGCTTTTTCCTTGCTTTCGCCAGCAATTTTGACGAATTCTGGATAGACGTTTTTCATTCATGTTTTTGCCTGGCTGCTAGTACCAATTCCCTCTCAACTAACTGCCCGTTTGAAAGCATATGGTGGATTTCTCACATGAATAGAAGCCTTAGGCAATTCTCGTATTAAGTAAGAATTTGTTCTATTCTAGTAAAGCGAATTTTCGTAGAACAGGCTTGTGCTGAATGCTTTCCGTTTTGACGCCTTCATTTTTTGCCTCCCTCAGAAACTTTTTCCATTTTCCATAAAATCGAAATCTTAAAGAAAACCTCCTTTTTTAAAAGAATTTTTTTGAGATGGTTAACAGAATTCATCTGTTTTAGCAGTTAGCGATAATCGGCCATCTGATAACACTGAACATGTTTTTGGAAGGTTTGGTAAGAAGAAAGGCACTTTTCTACACAACACTTAGGTACACAGACGGCCCGTCCTCACTTCTTGTGCGGTCACCACCATATTCTCCACTGTTCGCTGATTTGCTGGTTTAGTCATTGTTTCCCTGCAGTCCCGAGGTCGACCTAGCTAAAACCTGCCAAAGGTCGCCACCACCACAGACACTCGCAGCCCTTGTGGATCAGAGGGAGATCTACCACCGACTTTGTGAATCACACCGCTGTAAACCGCAGCGCAACACTCAGCGACACCACCTCCCAGGAATTTCTGCACGATATAACGATCTTCATCGTAAAACTGACTCATGCTGATCTTCTTACATTCCTAAAAAAGTCGCGAAGAATTGGTCTTCAGGAAATAGTCCGGACTTAGAGGAGAGCGCCAACAGCTTCTCATCGGGTAATGGTGAGCGGGGTACATTTCTATTAACTATATTTTTTCCTCTCTTGTCGTCTGTCAGATAAACTGTCATCCATTGCGTAGTATTTTTTCTTAGAGGTCTTGTGATAGCCAAGACGTATGAGACTTCCAATTCTTCATTACCAAATGTCACTATGTAAGAAATTGAATAAAGACGTGCGGAGTGATGTCCAAGTTTGTTCTACAACGTTGGTAAGCTTAATTATTGGCTTACTTTCACATAAACCGCATGATTGAAAAGTCGAATTTATTCTCACCCTTAACACATATACAACTACGTCTAATTTTGGTGGTGGCAGCACGACTACGGTGCACAGTTTTCTACTGGCCCGGTTAGAACTGAACACATTGCTTCGAAAAATGTAAGTTATTGAAAATAGGAATTGATTTTTGACGGAATTAGCCTTTCTGGTAAATTCGTGTTGGACAAGATATCTATTGAATTCGTAAATTATATCAACAGGTATACCAAATAAACTCTGAAGGCAAATAAATAGTCTTATGGAATATGTGTTGCATTTAATGCACACATCACCCGGCCTTGAATAGTCCAAGTCAAACTCATGCCTACTTCTCACACTACCCACCCACATGTGCCTTTATATCAATGCGTACAAGTATTTATGGAGTAATGAAGCTTCGTCTAGAACCAACTCATCACTATTTTTGCTTAGACAATCATTTACACCGCTCTCTACTATGAGCTGGCAAACTATTTAAGTGATTGAATGATTATCATCAGTGTTTTATCATTGTCAATAACCTGTTGGATGCTGCGGCAACGTTCATATTTCTAGTGTTAGCTTCGACTTATTCATTAGACAATACCAATGTCTGAACTGATACAATTACAAGGTTCTTAGAGTTCATTTATATATAATGTTTTATACAGCTTGTTTAATTCTTTGAGTTAAACGTTTCTGATTTTAGAAGGACAAAAAGTAGGCTCTTGGACGATCACGAAGAAACTCGGTGAAGGAGGTTTCGGAGCAGTATATTTATGTAAAGGCAAAGATGATGAACTAAACGCACTTAAGGTCGGGCACTGCGAAACATACGTAATATTCAATAATTCAGTATGTGGTTATGTTTATTATTAGGTGGAATCTGAAAACGATCCACACGGACTGCTTAGAATGGAAGTGTACGTACTAATGGAATTGAAAAAGACAAAATTTCAAGGTGACTCAAAAGGACACTTATTAAAGTTGACAGCCTGCCAGTTTAGATTGACCCGTAAGATGATGAAGTAGTATCCATCATTGTTCTGCATGATGGTGAACTATTCCGTTATGAACTATTGGCGAACTGTTCAAGGACAGATACCAATTCTTAATCGACGTTGCAGTGGCTGATTCATTACGTTAATATCTGACTATCCTACGTGAAAACTTGATTATTGGATGTATTAAAATGGCCTGCACGGCGCCTAGCGGAATTTTCACTTGACGAGCAATTCGCTTATCGGGCAATACTTTTCAAACTAGAGCCTCGAAATGCAAAGTCGAATGGTGACAAATCTCCCTCTGATCCACAAGGGCTGCGACTACCCGTGGTGGTGAAGACCTGGGGCAGACTTTGAGCAGGCTGACCTCGGGATCCCAGGAAGCCACAGTGGCTTAACCAGCAAATCTCCGAAAAATGGAGCATGTACTGAGGTCCGTACAACCAATGACGACAGGCCATTCAAGTATCAAGTAAGTAAGAGTCGAGAAATGATTGGACCAGGAATTCAAGTCGTCAGTACGGGGATTTTTAATCAGAGAGAGTTTCGTCAGATTGTGATTCCTGGTGCTGCCTTACTTTTAGTTAACTAACCGGATGGAAAGCATCTCTATGAGCAGTATAAAAATAAATTGTTCATCTTCATGTTCATATCTTCATGTTCAAATTGTTCATATCAAAAGGCAAATCGATATCGTTTTTATTTTCCCACTGAGTCTTTGGTACGACAGGTCGGATTCATATGATAGGTCAAGAGTTTCTCAAAGTGCACTGTACTTGCCGCTTGATACAGAGATATATCTCGTCATAGCGGTGTAATGTGCAATTGTAGCTGATGATCGTTGTCTCTGCCACTTTATTGTTTCATTAAGGTACTTCTAAACTAGAAGAAAACGGTTTCAATTGACAATTGGAGGAAAAATTATTGTTACCAATCTCGATTATGCAAAAAAGAGGAAAAAGAGAAAAGAGCAAAAGAGAGAAAAGAGAAAAAGAGAGGAAAAGAAACCTATTATAAAATGACAGGAGGAATATGTCGTCGAATCCTCACGGTACTGGTTCAAGCGATGAATTTTACTACATTTAATGTTTGCATCGACTCACTGGGATGGGAAGAGGTGCATCGCAATACACGCTTATTCGCGTAGTGTGTATTGGACAGCGTAGTGTGCTTATCAAGCCTTTCATCTGTTAGGAACTTGATACCAGAATTATCCACGGAATGATTGCACCGATGCACAACGGCCAGTGACTGAATACAATGAATCTGGGAATGCTTTCACAGAGATATTCCATGAACAAAGAGCAAAGCCAAATGAAAGAAGTGCTAAGGTCAGCCACAATATGTGTTGTTGAGTTAAATAGAAAAAATCACTTCAGTAACTACTGAACATCAAAAGTACGTCTAGACAGTTGAATTGTCTTATACTCTTGTGCTGTCATATATCGGCACCGGCATTTCCGTCTTTCCACAGTTTTGTCATGGCATTGAGATTTTCGTAATCAAATCGCAGGGCTGCTTGTCACCAAGACGACTGGTCTTCCTGTGTTGACAACTGGCAAACACCTGTCTTGTATAAAATGGCACTGCCAGTCGCCATGTTTATTCATTCGTGCCGTGCTCCACTCAATTTAACTCAAAGGGATGGCACTGAAAGGCACTTCGTCGTCACCAAACCTTGCAGCGAGAACTCGATTGGAATCCATGAACTCGTGAAGATAATGGTATCAGCAATATTACATCTATATGACAAGCTCATGTCATCATATATAAACAAGAACATCATTCGAAATATGAGTAAATGTTACCGAAAATGAACGTCACACATTGAAAATGCTTCCGTGCGTACATTAAGCAAGTGAGCCTGTTGCATTCCTGTGTTGTACAGAGTGTGGTGGTTACACCATCGATGCTTTCTGCCTCATCGTTATGACCTAGAAAGAGATTCAAATAGTTGGCATTAGGGATGTCGTATGAATATTTTCTTTGAGAAGAAAGTTGTTAGGACCTTATTCGTTATAACTCGTATGAAATGCTGAGATATTTGCAAAACTCTGGACCACTGGTGTATGCAGTGGGGAACGAACACGCGCTGTTGTCCTTACCGGGGAACCCATCCGGGCCTGGTGTGGTGGTGAAGTGCGCTGCTCCCCGGTAAGGACAACAGCGCGTGTTCGTTCCCCACTGCATACACCTGTGGTCCGGAGTTTTGCAAATATCTCAGCATTTCATACGAGTTATATTTCGCAACATACCCTGCCATTAAGAAGAAAAAAAGGCAGTAAATAAAAGGATTAAGATTGTGCTTATTCGTTATGTTTATTATTCCTATTTCGAGTCAGTATGAAACCCTCAGATCCTACGTTTAGCGCGACACTTTCTTGGCTTAAAAGACCGAGGTAATGTACCAGGTAAATTCAACTATGTGGTGATGACATTGGTTGGAAAGAGTTTACAGGTATGTTTAGTCGATCAGTTTCTTCGAACACTAAAGCGGATAAGCTTGCCTTCTTCAGGAATTACGAAATGAGGCACCAATGAAGAAGTTCTCAATGGGGACAGCAATTTCTGTAGGGCGACAATGTCTGGAAGCACTTGAAGACTTGCATAATGTCGGCATTCTTCATCGAGACATCAAGCCCGGCAATTACACTATTGGACGGAAAGAGCTCAACGAGCTCAGAAAGGTAGGAGGATGTTGGTATCCCTGTACATGAGTCTATGGGTTAAATCTATAGCGGAAAAATATTTGGCTTTCACTTCAAGTAGATCAGAATTAATTTGAGAAATCTGAATATGTATTGATTATACCGAAGTAATACAACAGGTGGAGGGTAGAGACTTCATTTAACGCTCATGTATGAATTACTTACGATTTAGCCTTATCCTAATTATGCAATGAATAAGACTAAACATAGAAGAAACGCGGCAGAGTGAAAAGCTGAAACAACGCGAACGACAAGAGGAATGGAGCGACGGTTGGCATAAAAAAGTGTTCAAAAATTGGCATAGTGTTAATAAACACTGGAAAAAGGAAATTTAAGAGTCGCACAGAGAAGGAGAGAGAGAGAGAGCTAGTGACTTGGGAACAACATAGAACTGGGGAAGGCCATATTCACACCGAAAATGGAATCGTCCAAGAAGATCCACGTCAATCAGTTTCCGTGATCGTCCACTCGAAAGCGAGCTGACTTTATTAAATATCATCCTATTTATGCGGTGGTTTTTTAAAGATTGGATAAGAGAAGCATAAAAAACTGTGATGATAATAGATAGAAAGATAGGAATCTTCTTTTCTATTTGCTTCAAAATACTGCCTACTGATTCTGCTATTTTGTCTATTTCAAGCAGGGTCGTGAAAGTTCGCTCGAAATCGATTCCGACTTCGATCAGTGTAGTTAGCTTTTTGGCCTAAAATAAACACCGATAAATATAGCCTAACATGATAATCAATTCCACATACGGCGGCAAATGAAGGAGATCTAACAACAAGCTTCTCGTTATCGAGAAGCTTTAGCCACGCTTCACGGAACTGTTTATAAACGATTGAATAAACACTATCATTAACTTTCTCATTTTTGCTGAGTTTCGCTGAAAAATGAGCAGAAACAGAAGTGTTCTGTTCTGTGTTAAATACAAGAAAATATCCCCATTCATGTCTTCCGTCACATACTTTCCTGCTTTCGTCCACCAGAGTGCATTCTAACGCCCGCACTGTTCTGCGACGCTATAAACTTATTTTTTTTTCTTGGTTTTTTAAATAAACATGTAAAAAAAGCTCACCTATGGATACGGTGTGTTCAACAGGTCTACATGCTTGACTTTGGAATGGCACGAAAATTTGTGAAAGAAGACGGCACATTAAGAAACCCTCGGTAATTAGTCATCGTTTATTTTAGTTCTGTTGAATTCTTTAGAGTGAAGAACGACTAACAAATCGAGACAAATTCGAAGCTACATCTTTCTTCGATTATTTGGTTGTTGCTCGAGTCTTTTCATACAAATATAATAAACTATCAAGCTTTACGCATTACTAAATCCTTAGGAAAATCCGTTGTAAATTCGATTTCGTCAAGCATCATAGAGGTGATAGAATATAACTCAAAAGACCGACTTTCTATAAACTTCCGCATAGATAGTTGATATAATTATTTATATAATCTTATGAACTAATCTTCTTTAGCTCATACGAGGTTGGTATAGGTCTTCGTTGTGTCGACGGCTGACGTTTCGGCGATTTCGCCCTCCTCAAAGCCTCAGACTTGGGTACTTAAACCAAGTATCCGAAATGTCTGCCATCGGCCAACAAGAACAACAGCAACAATAACAGCAGCGACAACGACAGCAAAGACCTATACCAACGTCGCAGTAGCTAAAGAAGATCAGTTTATAAGATGATGGAATATATATTTCGCTCAGAAGTCACAGGACCATAGTGGGCTGTTAAGTCAACATTTCTATTTTTCCGACAATTCTTGTTCCAATTTACCAACACAGCAGTGATATGGGGCTTAGTCCTAGGACAGCTAGAGTGTTAGATGAAGCAAACGGCTATGTGTGCATTCCAGAGCACCTCTGAACATTACGTTACACGCGCCCTCTTTTCAAATTCCATTCAAGATTTAGGATGCGTTAGTTGATAGTTAATTCGATTTATTGCTGAGAGTCACTAAAAATCATTCAAAGTCAATGCCTGTTTGTAGCTGTTACTCATCGAGACTCATTTAGAGCGCGTGCTGGATTTCGTGGTACTGTAAAATATGCCCCGTTAGCTTGTCATGTGCATCGAGAGCAGTGTCGTAAGGATGATATTGAGAGCTGGATGTACATGCTGGTCGAAATCACATGCGGTCGACTACCGTGGAGGAACCTTACGGTAGGCGTCTACTTCTGCAATCACTGAAATCAGCTACTGCTATCACGAAAATGATAGAACTTACGAGCGCACTTGCCGAAGGATTGAAAGTGCAAACAAAGAGCGGAGAACTACGAGAAGACATTAATAAGTAATTCATTGGGTAACACGACATGCTTAGAAAATGGAGTATTCATAATAAAGATCGTAAAAAAGGCACGACAGGAATGTCATTAGATTAGGACAGTACCACCACAGTTCTATACGAGTGTTAACTGCTCTTTGATGAGAAATCACACACTTACCGATACAAGACGACGTTACAAAAACACGATAACTGAACATATTCTAACGTCCGCAATGAAATACCGACTTACTAGCGGTACCGTGGTCGATTAGTGTTCAAAGGCTCGATTTTAAACATTTTCAACGTCTATGATCCATGAGTATTCGTAGTCACATCGAGTCAAAATGAGCGCAGCGAAACATGGTAGCCATGAAGTGATATCATCCAGCGCAGCCGTTTTACATAAGTGAAATATACCACAGCAACCTATTCTGTATCTTTCATACTAGAAATACTAAACTATTCTTGTCTCTTGAGCTGACGTAAGCGATGAACTTCGACTCTGGCGTGCGACGGAAACGAAAGGAAACCAACTCATCACAGCTGTTAGGTCGTGTTACTGGATGATTAGTAAAATCAGAGGTGACACTCGTCACCTCACCAGGTCTTATAGCTATTATGCTCTTATAAACACTCCCATATTCAATGCTGACGGCTTATGTAATTCATGTAGCAAACGGTCGTTTTACACTCAGGAATCGAATGATGTCGGGTTGTTTAAGAAAGACTGTAAAGGTGAACGTTATCGATGTCTTTTTGGCGGATGTCCACGCGAATACACGGAAATATTCCCGATTCTCGATAAAGTTAGTGAATTATTTGATTTAATATTCTCTACAAGTCAGCTGTCCCACATCAGCAGATTTAATGTGCCATTTAGGGCAAATTTTTCGACGCTCCTGACTATCCCGCTATCTATAAGCTACTTGAATTAGCGTTACAAAGTACACGAGCACAAGAGTTTCCATACGATTGGGAGATGTAACCGATCATACAGGCTAAATAAATTTTTTACGGCGTAATAGTGTTCTTGCAAACTTTTCAGACAGTGCTTTATTTACCAGATCATTTGTATCATTATTAAATAAGGAAAATTCTGTTTCAACAACAAAAATATCTGAAAAGAAACCTTTATTAACTCGATTTGCAGCTACCAAATCGTGCTGAGTGGAAACAAAACAGTGAGAACGTTAAGAATACTCCAAAGCACACCAATAATCGAATGCCGCAACTCATTCGAAATCTCGAGTATTCGAATTTTTGGACGAATGGCTTAAAACGCGCGTAGTACGACCAGTTTGTTGAGGAGCTTCCCAGGTGCACATGGGTGCCGGCACATGAAACACTGTAAAGGCTTCTGTTTCTTTTTCTGCTGCACTACGAAAATGGGTAGAGAAAGTTATCGATTTCATCTGCCTTGCTGTCCTCTTCGTTTGTACAATGTTGTTTACTATTTCCTTCTTCATGGTTTCTTACATTTCTCCCTCAAATTCCTTGAGCTGTACGTGTTTTTCGTGGTTCTTTCTTTATGTTATCATCAAATTGCTGCTATTTTCAAGCCTTTCATTGACCTTGGTGGTGCCTGTCTTACTGTTCTCAGTTTTTTCTACAAGTGCATTCCACCCAGACGTCTACGTAGGTAATAATCTCGGTTTACTTCTAAAAAATAAAGAGAATTGCCTTTCTTTACTCAATTGCTAATGCATGTCCCATAGGATTCCAAAACCCGATTAATTTTAAGGTAAGGTGAAAAATGAAAGCAAAAGTTCGAAATGTGCCCGACGTGATTCAATCTTGACTTAAGATACGATTTAATAGCTATACTCGCGGTTTTTTCCTCCTTTCTAAAGACTTGCTTACGCACTTAGATATCTAAATGGCCCGTCTTCATTGGTCGTGCATGCTCCAGCATAATTTCCACTCTCCGGCGATTCGCTGGTTTAGCCATTGTGGTTCTCTGGAGTGCCGAGGACAACCTGGCGAAAGTCTGCCCCAGGTCGCCGCCACCATAGGCAGTTGCCGCCTTTGTGGATCAGAAGGAGATTTGCCACGAAGCGACTAGTTTGATACCATAACGGTGGTGGATCCTGGTTTTGGTCTACTTATCGCTGGTCATCCTGGTGGAAACGCCGGACTCCTCAGCATGCGAGGGCCTGCGGGGAAGATGAAACTCTCGCTTTACATCGCAGTTCGACACCCAGGAACACCTCACAGCCACGATGAGGCGGTAAAAGAAAGACTATTGGAACCCAGTTTTCAAATCATTGACAAGATTTTTTATTCTTGAGAGGAAAATCGAGATAGACTGTACGCCTTCCACTAACTCGTTTACTAAATAAAGAAGCAACAGCAAGTAACGAGTAACATGCCAGTAAATAAAAATACAGTAGAATAGAAGCTCCTTTATGAACTAGAATTTGCTATACTATAGTGTGGTAGTGTTGTTAATTTAGATATGTGGCATAAAATTTTTAAGCACATCCTGTCTCTTTTTCTTTCAATTTCACCTTTGAATTTTCCAACGTTCTGTGATTATTCCTTAACAGCTGCGTACTTTCAGTAATCTCTCATAGGAAGAACGTAGCCGGCAACGAATAGAAGATGAAGCTAAAGCGCTTGAGCGATATGTTCAGTACCTTAGCATGCTTCTCTTGAACTGCTCGTTGCTAATTTACAGCAGTGATCCGATAAGCAGATTTTATCCATCGGTTGATTGGTATTCAGAAGAATACAGAACTCTCATGACAAAAAAAAACGGCGAAAGCGAAACGTTCCCCTGTGATTCAGAGCATGAAGAGAATGTATTACTGTATCTGAATATATTTAGTGAACCTCTCCATTGGAGGTGTTGGCAGCAGTCCCACCTAGCGGGATTCTGATTTCAATGCACGGAAAGAAATTACAGAATTGTTACTATCTTAAGAGACCAACAGTCCTTTTTCCTTTCTTTTTGGTCACTGCAAATAATATCGATAAAATTGCATTCAGTCTGAATTATTTATCAGCTACCAATTCTTAGGACCATCTCGGGACCATTACCCGTCAGCGGGATTAATCCGGGAAACTCAAATCAGCAATGAAGTTACTGCTGATGGAACTGATCGTTAGAACTAGCTGAGAGACAGGCGAAGCGAAGGACCCACATGGTGTGGTGGTGAACGTGTTAGCCCCCGGAAAGGGTAATAACGCTTTCGCACCCCAACGCAGACACCTGCGGTCCGGAATTTTGCAAATATTTCGGCATCATTGATGTTGTATTTACGTGGTGGCGTTAGAGATGGCTGTCGCATAAATTAGGGTACGGTGTGCTTGATTTCTTGTAAAGCACGTAAAGAGGAATACGTTGGCGAAAACGGTAGACCATTTTCCATCTGTATTAAAAGAACGCCAAGTTGAGAAACTTAAATCCAAAAAATGCGCAGACATAATGGAGAATATTTTGAAATAAAAGCCACTCTCCCATCACAGGAATTTAAAACATCAGGGCGCAAAACTACTAGAGCGTTGTAGATAAATTCCGAGGAACAGAAATGAATGGCAAGGAGGCGAGCATTGTGATCAAACATGACTCTATCCCAGAGTCCATATCCCAGGCTGTTTTGAGACGAGCTATTCATATTCCCCACCCATTTAAGATTTTGTGTGTCTGGTCCCCAACTAGAATTTGAACACATAAAGATCAAAACAGTAAGTAAGTGTTTAAAAGAAGCTGTTTACTATGCGAATGGAAATTGTGTGGTGAAATTTCTTCCACTTGGGTTACGAAAGTGTTCTCAGCTGTGTAAATTGCGTGTCAATTTAACCTCTCCAGGCTGTGAAGATGGTGAAACCACAGAAAAGTCAGACAATATTGAACAGATCTTTTATTGACAACTTTGTGTCTGCTCAAGGGTAAAACGCTGAATATTTATCAGCTGATAACAAGTATTCTACTCGACACGTCAAATCGCTTTCGAGTGGTTGTAGGGTCGAATAATTGCAGTATTAGCAAAAGAATCAGAGAAGTTGCTGCCATTTTGGAAACGTCGGATACGCACAGCATCAAGCTTCCTTTCCATCTGTTATACAAAAAACCGCAGCTGCATCTAGTGAAGACCTGAGAACGCTCTAATACAGATATATCAAGTTTCCTAAGAAAGGCACCCTTTAACAACATTTACTATGTCGATGAGAAGAGAAGACAATGAATTACTCAAGTTGTAGGCGCACGCCACCACTAAATCAACCCGTTCTTATCTATCGATGTTGCTTGAGAGAGATCGAAACGATTTGAAGACGTACTGGTATCCGCATCACATATGAAAAGAAGTCATCGAAACATTCTTTACAAGAGAAAGGTTTCGTGTCCGACCAGACTACATCATGATGCTTGCGGTTCGTTTAAAAGTAGGACAAAGTTTTCTCAATAAGTTACAACAACACCAACCTCTACAGGTTTCTTGTTACACTAGTTGAAAACTGTAAAGTTTTCATTTGCTAAGTAAACGTTGTTAACACATTACGGAAGCGCTGCATTAGCAGCGTTGGCGCTTTGAAAGGCGCTCAGCGTTCATCCTTTACGAGACAAACAATTTTTCGGCTTGAAGGATCGTGAATGACAGGATTATAGAACAGACTTTGCTCTATCAACCCATATATAGTTCCTTTATTCATTCCATCGGCAGTTAAATCATGAAGGCAAGAGACATGCTTTTCTTCTCCACGCCCGAGTTCCACAATGATATTCTTTCGATTACCTATCGACTGGATATCCATAGTATAGCAAGAAAAGCTTCTAACCCTATGAATTGGAAACCGGCATCATATGTTCAAATCGTCCACACGCGCCGCTACGTTTTTATGTCTACGTGCAAATCGTCCGCTATGTGTTAATCTCTTAACGTCACTTATGTAACTATTGATGGGAATCTCTTCAATGAAAAGGCTTCCGTACAAAAAAGAACCCCTCCCGCTAAGTTGAGCCGAATGATCTCAGACTCAGACTGATCTGTGTAATATCGATCGTCTCCAGACTTATAGCCCGATCTGTTTGATGCACAGCCAGCTTACTCGTTGAGAAGGGGCGGGGCGGCGGCAACACTCGGACACGCCCATCCGGTGCTATCGATCGGGCGGACCCACGTGCCCGCGATGGGGACCGATCAACATTGGCGCGCGCATCATCACCGACCGAAGGGGTTGCTAGCGTAGTCAGCATGTAGATCACTGGGAATCTTGGCTTGTAAGCATCTCTATTATGCATTGATAGACGTTAATATCGATTAGGATCTTACTACTAAGTCGTAGGGTGTAAAGTATAGCATTAAAAAATCACCACTGAAATGTGATCAGCGGTATCCTTTGTCGAGCTACGAGTTACTCACGTGCACGTCCTTGTGACTACTGCCAAGCCTAAGACTAACTATTTCAAGGTGTTTCTTTTTTGCCCACTTGTGTAAAGTGATTCCCTCAACGCGTTCGATGTCCTCCATCGGACACGATTTGTTTCGGAAAACTTTCCAGAATACATTTCTCTCTCTCGTCTTCCGTTTTTATGCAATATTTTAAGTGCCTAGATGTGACATCATTTTTACGAGGCCTTGTTATATGTTACGGTATGACGTCATACTCTACTGAATGACGTCATGCAAAAAACATGCGAATCATATGGTCACTTGATGGCTAGTAGCGAAAAGTTGGCAGGACTTAAAGGATAGCAGACATCATCGCTAACGTCCCTCATAAAATGAAAAGACCAAGGTCGTTATAGCAGCCTTTATGATGACAGATGTTTCTTCATTTCAATTCTTTCTCACAGATTTTTCTTTTCGTTTTACCAACTTATATAAGGGTTCTAAAGTCCTTTCATTACTACAGTGAGTTTACTTGTTTGTTGCTGCTGCTCATTTTCCTTCCATGTAGTTCTCTTTGCTTGTGGTATTTAACCGTTGGTTGGCGTATTCATTTCTCTGGCCTTATGATTTCGAGATGACAGTAGGGGATTTT